GCCAAAAAAATGTGGTGGTTGAAGCAACAATGTTGGGAAACTGGTGTTAAAAATGTGAGCTATATGAAAATATGAACTACTGAACCTGACGAAAAACTCCTTTCTTTCCAACAAGCCACTTTATGGAGCTTAACAGCAGTGACAACTGCAGAGATACATTATTAATGCCCAGCAAGGACTGACATTCAGAAAGGCCTCCACTAGTACAGCCTTCACTCCTCCTGTCTGTCACCTCTGTCTCGTCTCTCTCAATCTCTTTCTTTATTCTACCAGCTGAGACACAAGTAATGCAATGACATGCACAGCTGACACCCGAGACCACCGAATGTGGTGTTAAGTCTGGTTTATCGACAGCAACTATAAGGCAATTATTTTTAGGATGACAGCCTTGTGTGACACTGTGACACTATATATATATATATATATATATATATATATACATATATATAAAGTGGGCATAAAAAAAGAATCACCTCCGATTAAAATAATCACATTTTGTTGCTTTGCAGCCTGAAATGAAAACTGGTTTTTGTTTTATCCAGCTGTATTTACTCAGTGCAACTTATAACATCCAAGTGAAAGATATAACACCAACATGTCAGAAAAAACAACAACAAAAAAAACAGAATCACTGAGTTGGATAAAGGATCACTCCCTCCTAAAAATGAATTGTAAACTCAATCAGGTGTAGCTAATCACCTTTTAGTTGGATAAAGGATCACCCCCTTGTGATGTTTTTTTTTAGTAAGTATTAAAATAGTACACAGAATTAAATTACACTTTAAAATACATACAAATAGAAAAAAAATATTAACAATATTACTGCTTTTACTGTATTTTTGATCAAATAAATGCATCATTACTGGTTTTGGCTACACACAATGCCAACACCTCTTGTGTCCAAGAAGTTCCTTCCACGTCGGAGGTAAAACTTGTAAACGTACAGCGGCACTGCCTCAAATCTCAACACGATCAGTACATTAACAATGCATCTGCTCACTCATTCTCCTTCATTCAGCTTGTCAAGGGGCCGTTTTAACTAAGAGAGAGACAGAAAGAAAGGGAGAGAGAAAGGAAAGTGGAGGTGAAAGATGAAGCGGTGGGCCTTGCAGGCATGAATCACACTCTTTTGAAGATGAATAATCCTTTTGAGGGCTAGCAGGCTAAGCTGATTTAGAATTCTGTTTCAGCCTTCTCCCATAATGCCTGTCTGCAGCTCCACACGTACTGGAAGTTAAAGTGAAGACCCTGTAGATTGGCCGTCTGCAGGCGAAATCAACAATGTTTAGTAGTTATTATGTACGATAACTGGCAGAACAAACTGCAACATGACCTCCCAAAAACAACCAAAACACACTATAAATTTTCAAAACTCGATGTATGTCAAACTGACCTGAACATTACAGGAGGGTTAACCACTGATGTTATTTTTGTTCTGGGTTGTACGATTTACAAACCAAGATTTCATAGCTTTAAACATTTGTATTTTGAAGGCCTTAGCTATAATGAAAATTACATCGACTACCTGCTACATAAAATGTACTTGACTAGAGCCATCAAGCTTTTTTCTCTAGACAACCCACATTACACACTCCTGAAAAAAAGGACATTGGAGACAAAGCCCCAAGTCCTTTACATGTCTCATTCTTCCGGCTGACGCCTTCAGCTCATTTGCTCATGTCAAAGTGTTAGATTCCATCATTTGCACTCGAGACCGACGACGATCACCTTCCTCTACACAGCAATTAACATACATGGCTTGCTAATGTTAGTGATTAAGACAGAGGCAGACGCTGATTAAAATATTTCCCCTTGATTTGTCAATGGTAAACAACTTCCTGAAGACCAAGATTGATTAATGTGGAGCTGTAATCAAGCTGCGACAGGAAGAAAAAAACAGCTCAGAGGTGCTAAAAAGAGCAAGAGAGAAATAAAGACTGAAGGTTGGGGGAGTCAAATTTTCTTTCTTCACCCTCTGCGCCTCTCTCTCTTTTTCCTCCCGAAAGAAAAGAACTCTGACTACTTAATTGGAGGAATCAAATTTAGTCAAGCACCCTGTTGGCTCAGACCTACATCATTAAAGTTGCCAGCTAACAAACATCAAAAACCAGGCAGCATTAATGAGGCAGATGTATTAATTTTCCATTTATGAGCAGCTAAGCAACTCTCCTCCACCTCTCCCTCTATCTCTCTCTCCTCTCGTTCTCCGTCTTTCATTCTGACAGAACTATTAATGATCTTTAATGCCCCACAGGCAGTAATAGGCCCCACTGGGAGAGCAGAAATACAGCGATTTGTATGGAGGATTTAGACATAACGGGGGAGAACGATGGGGAGAGAGGGAAAAGGAGCACCGTGCAATCGTTCCTGGGAGAGAGCGTTTGATCAGGCCGCGGTCTCTCCGAGGAGTTCGGCCCAGCTCTGGGACGGAATAATAAACGACGGAATGCAGATGAAATCATACCGGCTGTTCGTAGACAGACAGAAAGAGAGAGAGAGAGAAAGTCAGGCAGCTTCTGATTGTCGCTAACAACCGACGGCTTTTAGCAAAAGCACCTCTGGGGGAACCAGACAAATGTAGGAAACCGGACCCGAAGGGAGAAAAGTACTGTCATTGAAGACAATTACACAGGTTTAAAACACAGATGCTAAAGTATTAGCACAGATAACTGATTTACATATTTCAGATGTCACCAAAGACGTTAACTATAATAACAATAAAAGTTTTAATAATAGTTTTAATCCTTTGAGAATAGAGACGTTCACACCACAGCCATAACTGAAATGACAGAAGAACGATATAGTTGGAATCACTCTTGAAACAATTTTTTTCCCCCAGCTGATAAATGATAAAAACATAGACAGCCAATCACAATACAACCCAGCTTATATGAAACTGAGCATATTTGTGCACTGGTCTGGACGCTAATATAGTTATCTTTCTAATTATCGTTCTTGTTATGAATGGGCCTTTACACTGAAAGGAAATGGCATTGCAGACAAAATGTGACGTCATGGACATGATGAGACAGTAGTGACTTAACTGTAATTTAAGTCGTTAATTCTATAAGGGAATTAATCATTAATTCGATTTCTAGCTCAGGTTTTGAAAGGATATCTCCACCATTATTATGTAGTGACTTAACTGTAATTTAAGTTGTTAATTCTATAAGGGAATTAATAATTAATTCGATTTCTAGCTCAGGTTTTGAAAGGACTTGAATCTGAAAATTCTGAGTCAACCTGATCAAAACTGAATTCAAATCTGATAGTTTACACTTTAAATCAAGGGTCGTCCAGCGAGCCGGTGATTCTTAGTATATTTTAACAACTTGAATCTTTGTATTTCCTTGGCCACGGTCAATACAATTATTATAAGTAAGCTATTATAGTAATTATTATAAGTAAGCTACGAGCTAGGTAGCAAGGGATCTATGGCAAAAGGTTTTAACCTTAAAATTATATGACACCAAACAATGATTCTTTATAAATGAAACATGAATTTTATTGGCTATTCTAGATTACATCAAAACTAAGCTAAAACACACATACACACAAACATACAGTTTCTTAGAATGAGAGTTGACGGAGTTGCATGAAGTTTCAAAGTTCTAACTCGTTTTCACGAGTGATTTAAATTCACCTGAGAGAATTCACAAAGCAGAGGTTTGTCTTAAGTTTACTGCTTAAATTAGCTCGACACCAGTTCAGCAGAGATAAGATTTTGTTCGTTTACTTGCGTTTTGCTTTGGGTGACAGCTGAAAAGCTGAGATGATTTCCCGTTACTGACGCAGGCTTCCTGGATGGCTGCTGGAGGGAAATTCCGTTGCTGATTGGTTGGTCGCTTTGGCGCCGGAATGACGTTTGGATGACGTCCTTTGGAGAAGCCCTCGTGGGATTGGTTGGTTGCCGGGTTACAGAAGAGGCTTGAGCAGTCCTGCTAAAAGGTCTGAGTTTGCAAGACTTTTAGTTCTTTGAAGAGT